AGAAACATCTGCTTTCCTGATGCATGCTAAAAGATTAATGGTAGATTGTGGCTTCAATTCACATTTCACTTGCATTTTAGGAGAAGATTGACACTCCAACTTCAAAAGAATGGCCCTCTCACAACAGGGCCTAGACTCAGAGTGAAAACATTGGCTCAAAAAGTAGACGGGGAACCAGATTACTTAGGGTTCCAAAGAGAGGCTAAGGAATTCGGACTTCATCCAATAGCAACAGGGAACCATTGATGATTTTTGAGCTGTATCTGAGTTGTATCTTCAAGAGATCATTCAGGCAGCTTTTTGAAGACGAGATTAAAGTGGGAAGAAAGCAGAGGCAGGCAGGAGAGTGAATCCAGGATCTAGGTGAGAGAGACCAAGAAGAGTGGCCTTAGGGGTGAAAAGGAAGTGACTGATCTGAGAGGTTTCAGAAGGATCAACAGGACTTGGGTCCCAGTGAGTCTTGGGATGAGAGAGAGGAAAGAGTTGGGATTGACACATTTCTAACTTGTAAGGTCGATGCACAGTATCAACCTTATTTTACAGGCATATAACATTATGCCTGTAGCTAATGTATGAAACGCATGCTCTTCCATTCTTACCAGCTCATTATGCTGCAGCCATATCCAATCCAAATCCAAATTGCTCCTGCCTCAGGAGTTTTGCACTTGTGGGAAGTGTATGAGGAGAGAGAGAGAGAGAGAGAGAGAGATGTGATCCAGGAAAGAAGAAACATGGGGTGAATAAGTATCTATGGAACTTTCTGTCCCTATCACCATATTTCCTTTAGCAAAAGATTTAAAAGGTGTGGGGGCATTGTTAAACTGACAACATTAAGCAAAGGATAATTTATTAGATGAGAGAAAATATCAGTGAGTTATCAGTATCAGTGTCTCTGACTTTTGGAGCACCAGATGAAGCAACCTTGCACAAAGACTTGAGGGTAGGGCCCTGTGAGGGGCCTGATTCCTCGTTGGTCCTCGGCGTAATCACAGTTTTGACCCAGAAATTTGCAAAAAGTAAATACATTGATAAAAGAAAAGCATGAAAAGACCTGCAGAAACAAGTCATATTCTGAGCTATCATGGAACAGTGGAAATCACATGATTGCAAGATGAGACAGCAGCTTCTTTTGTGAGCAACTTATAGATTACTAAGTGACGGTTGTAGAAGATCAGTTGAATTCTGCCAAAAGGCAGACATGGAATAAAGTTTCATTTCATTTTCTGGAGGGACCAAAATTGCTTTGCATAAGTGATGGTGGAATGATGTAGAATGTGACAAAATAGTCTTCAAATAGTATTATTTTTCCTGGGTGAATGAAGATGCTAATTGCTAGTCTAGAATGACCCTGTCCCCCCCAAAAATCTGCAGCAGATTAAATTTATTTTACTTATTTGGGATTGAGAGAAGAATTCATGCAAAATAAATTTTTGACTGTGTTCACACCAAATCCAAGGAAGAATACCAAATAAAAACTGATTGCTATCTTGTCAAAACTCTGTCTCATACCTATAAAACATCTCACATCCCATCTACAAAATTAACTACAAGTACATCTTTCTACATCTCTTCTCTATGGCTTTCATGCAATTAACACAGAACAATAAATCAGGCATGGCATGATTTAGCCTAGGAAATAATTTAGATATCTAAAAAATGTGTAGAGTTATAAATTGCTATTATTTATGTTAATTTTTTGTACATACAAAGTACTTTAATTTAGGACCAAAATTTGGAAATTACTTGTAAAAGTGTAGAAAATAATAGTGACTAATGTATTGTGAAAACTGGAGCATATGGAACCAATTCTATATGGTAATGTAAATGTATGAACTACTGAAATAGGAGCTATTAAATTGTTTTAATTGAGTCTTTGGGGTAAAAGTTTAGAATTTGGTTGAAGTTTCTGGCATTGGTAATTAGTTGTTTTTAGAAGGACAGATGCAATTCTAGGATAATTGACTGTCTTTTCATCTTAAGAACTCAAAATAATGGGCACTTAATACCAAATCTACCTTGGATAAAAGATAAGTTAGGACACCAGGACTCATGAACACACAGAATTTAAGAAAATTTTGGATGAAACATTAACATTACACATTGATTTATTTATATTGTCCCTTTCATTGCTTTTTTTAATTTCTCAAAAATATAATATATTATTGGCCAGGTGCAGTAGATCACACCTGTAATCCGAGCAATTTGGGAGGCCGAGGAGGGTGGATCACCTGAGGTCAGGAGTTCTTGAGACCAGCCTGGCCAACATGGTGAAACGTTGTCTCTACTAAAAATACAAAAATTAGCTGGAGTAGTGGTGGGTGCCTGTAATCCCAGCTACTTGGAAGGCTGAGGCAAGAGAATCTCTTGAATCTGGGAGGCAGAGGTTGCAGTGAGCTAAGATTGTGCCACTGCACTCCAACCTGGGTGACAGAGCGAGACCCTACATCAAAGAAAAAAAAAGAATACAATATATTATTAACTAGAGTCACCATGCTTTATGATAGATCTCTTGAGCTTTTTCTCCTGTCTAACTGAAACTTTTATATTCTTTGACCAACATCTCTCTGATACTAGTTCCCAGTCCTCACCCACCCACTCCACCCACTCCTCTGGGACCACCATGCTACTCTCTATTTCCATGAGATCAACTTCTTTAGAGTCCACATAGCCGTGAAATCATATAGTATTTGTCTTTTGGTGCCTGACTTATTTCACTTTGCAAGATTTCCCACGTCTGGGGAAGGAAATAGAAATCCAGATCTAGAAAGGACAAAGAGCATCAAATAAGATGAATCCAAAGAACCCCATAAGGAGATACATTATAATCAAATTGCTGACAGTTAAAGACAAAATGAGACTTAACTGTTTAAGCTCCTGCCCAATATTACATTGGGGATCTGGAGTTTAAAAGAAGTCTAATTTCAAAAGTATATTCTCTTTTTGTCTTAACTTTGTGCTTTCTGGATCTGGATTTCTATTTCCTTCCTCAGACTTGAAAAATCTTCAGCCATTATGTCTTTGAATAGGGTCTTTGTTCCTGTCTCTCTCTCTTCCTTTTGAGACTCTGATAATGAGTATATTGTTTCAGTGACTGTGTCCCACAAATTTCTTAAGTTATCTTCACTTTTTAAATCGTTATTATTATTATTTGGTTCCTCAGATTGGATAACTTCCAATTACTTGTCTTTGAGTTTACTGTTTCTTTTTCCTGCTGACTCTAGTCTACTGTTGAACTCTTCTATTGAATTTTTCAGTTTAATTATTGCATTCTTTAGCTCTGATTTGTTTGACACTTTTTAGCGGTTTCTATAACTTTGTTAAAATTCTCAGTTTGTTCATGCATTGCTCTACTGACTTTGCTGAGCATCTTTATTATCGTTCTTTTAAATTTTCTGTTGGGTAAATCATATATCTCCATTCATTAGGGTCTGGTTTCTTGTCCATTTATTTGGAAGTATTTTCCTGTTTATTCATTTTCCTTGACTCTCTGTTAGTTTTTGTACATGAAAGACAGTTTCGTCTCCCAGTTTTGTCAGACTAGCCTCACATAGAAGATGGACCTCATCAATCAGTTCAGTCAGAGATTCTAGGTGCCTCTCAAACCTTCATGCTTATCCAAACCCCTTTCTTCATTCTTAGTGGCCCCCAGAAGATTTGGGTGTGCCAAATCCTATCAGTTTCCCAAGGCAGATGAGATAAAAGCCAGTACTTTGAGATGCAGTTGGAGAAGTTAAATGTTAGATATATATTCCAGTTCTTTCTATACTCAGGAAGAAACTGAGAGCTGGAGTTCATCTCCCACTCACTGCATTAAGCTGGGGAGAGAATCTGTGACGAATGCCTGTGCTGTCATTCAAACCACACCCTCTGATACTAGGGGTATAACCACTGCACGTGTGCCCACTGAAAAACCACCTCTTTGTTCTTTGCAGTCTAGGAAGGTTCAGGAATGCAGAGTCCCACCAACTCCCAGAGCTCAGTGATTAAAAAGGCATTTCCTGAGATGGGAGCTGTAAAAGTTGGTGCACTTGATGCATGCACAAACTTCTTACAGGGGGAATATGCAGACCTGGATTTATCTCTGAAATGAGCCAGAGAAGAAGATGCAGGAAGTGCCGACACTCCCATTCAAGATCCCAGAGGTCTATTGTTTATCTGCCCCATCAGCTCCCAGATGCAGAATAGTTAGAGGTCCAACCCTCAGGCAGCAACTGGAAAAGTGTGCCAACTCCTTTCAGGGAAAAACTAAGAACTGGGCATTTTAGTCTATTCTCTGCACTGAGCCCAGGGAATATAGCTACTGGAAGTGCTCACATGTCCATTAAAATCATCTCTTTGTTCTCTATGATCCACGGAGACTCACAAATCCAGAGCCCTGTCAATTCTCAGAGCTAGGTATTTAAAAAGCCAGTCCCTTGGGTTAGGGCTGTAAAGTTGGGGTAGCATTTATGTGTTCCAAATACTTCAATCCTTAGTAAGAACCTGGGAATTGGGGATTCCTTCCCAATTGTAAGATGTGGTATCTGAGGTGGGGTTTATACCTAAGCGTGCCTCAGTGTTTCCTATCCATTTTGATGCAGATATTTTCTTAGTTACCTTGTGAGTAGGAGTCTCTCAACCAGTTTCTGGCTCTCTCTCAGAGAAAATTTAACTGCGTGCAGTCATTTATTTGGTGCATACAAGACAGAAAGGAAAGCCAGGAGCCTCCTATTCTGCCATCTCACTGACATCACTCCCAGCAGTGTGATTTGAAAAACATTAAGGACCCTGCCTGCCCCACTACATCCTGCCTACCCAACTTCACTTTTCTGCCGTTATCCTTATTCCTATTGCCTGTAACTGGGTAGCAGATGTAGAATCATCTGTTCCAGGATACTCTAGTGATGAGTAACGTGTATCTAGTGTTTTTCATTTTACAAAGCGATTTTTTTTCCATCATTATCTCATTTAATCCTCATAGCAATTTCATGGCCTAAGTTCTTTTTTTTTTTTTTAAACAGAGAAACAGAAGATCAAACTTAAAGTCACAGCAAGTAGGTGGCAGAGTGAAGAGCAGATCCAGCAGATTCTCTGAACTCCCGGGTGAGCATGCTTTCAGCACCACCACACACCACAATGGAACAGCCTATCAACTTCTTGGAAACTAAATAATAAAGAGAATGACCTTTGTCTTGAGCCTCATTGTCTGTCACAGGAGACATGAGATATCATCTTTGGGCAAGGTCTTCGCCCCATTTTATAATTTAAGTAAAACTTTAATGCTGATTTTCTCTGCCTCCTAGTGTTAGTCCTGGCTGCTGGGAAAGGAAAGGAAATGCTTTCACACTTTATAGACAACCTTGGCTACAACCACATCATTTGCTCCATTTTTTTCTGCTAAAAAATAGGAAAAAGCAGATGTAAAGACTTCTCTGTTTCTCTTTAAAGGAAGAAGATAATAGTTGTTTTGCACATTTTAATTTAGCATATTTTAAAGGCTTGAGAATTGATTTTTTTTAATTGGAAGATTCATCTTGGATAAAAAATTGATGTGGGTTGAGCTAAGAATACTTTTTTTGAATATCAGGAGGCAAGGGAGAGGCTCTGGAGAGCTGTTTGTAGACCTCCAGCAACCCTCATAGTCTCTTTGAGACCAGCTGGACACTAAGACCTGGGCCCATTCTGGCATCACAAGCACATGGGCCACAGTCAGACTATGTAATGGAGTGGGATGTGGGTGCAGGGTGTCTTTTAACCAGGCCCCCATCTCTACAAAATGAAAGGTTGCATCTGATTTCTCTTAGTCTCCCATTCTCATTTCTTTTTTTTTTTTTTTTGAGAGAGGTTTGAATGACAGCACAGGCATTATCCAGGGTGGAGTGTAGTGGTGTGATCATGGCTCACTGAAGCCTCAACTTCATGGCCTCAAGTGATCCTCCCACCTCAGACTCCCAAGTAGCTAGGTCCACATATGTATGCCACTACACTCAGAGAATTTTTTAATTTTTTTGAGAGATGAAGTATCATTATGTTCTTCTCAGTATTTACCTCTTTTTTTTTAAATTTAATTTAATTTAATTTTTTTTCTTTTCTTCTCTTTTTTTTTTTTTTTTTTCTTTTTTTGAGACAGGGTCTCACTCTGTCTCCCAGACTGGAGTGCAGTGGCATGATCTCTTCTCACAACAACCTCCGTCTCCCAGACTCAAGCGATTCTCCTGCCTCAGCCTCCTTAGTAGCTGGGATTACAGGCTCGTGCCACCACACCTGGCTAATTTTTTTATTTTTGGTAGAGACGGGGTTTCACCATGTTGGCCAGGCTGGTCTTGGACTCCTGACCTCAAATGATCCACTTGCCTTGGCCTCCCAAAGTGTTGGGATTACAGGCGTGAGCCACCGTGCCTGGCCAGTACTGACTTCTCTGCCTCTTTCCATTGTGTCCCTGAGTCCTTGCTCCCTGGTGAATAACTCTGTATTCACCTCCTTCTTTCACTGAGATCTAGATGCCCATGTGAACTTCCTGAGTGGAGGCTACTCATTCTCTCTTTCCATGCACCATGGGGCTGGAAAGAGTTTGACATTAACCCAGATCCTTTTGAATGTTTCTAGGCATTACACTTTCACCTTGTGAAAATTGCTATTTATTTTGAGTTTGATTATATTTGTTTGTATAACCCACAATATCTTCTATATCACTGCCATTGACTTGCATCCCAGTTACTGTTATTCATTTTTTGAAGACTCTGGCAGCTGATTTGTAATCTTTCTCTGTAAGTCCTGCCATCATCGTAGGAAATTTTGATGGCAAGAATTGAAACATCCAATATCCTACTGTCATAATTCTGAAACTTCTTATTTCTGGAGACAATCATCTTGCCTCAATTTAAGTCATATACTCAAGGGCCATTTCCTAAGAGTTGTCCTCTACTCTGGTTTGAATGCACCCCCATACCCCCAAAAAAGCGTGTGCTGGAAACTTAATCCCCAATGCCACAGTGTTAAAAGGTGGGGCCTAATGAGAAATGATTAGGCCATGAGGGCTCTGTCCTCATGAATTGATTAATGCATTCTGCATCAGTGTAGAAGTGGGTTTATTGTCACATGAGTGAGTTCATCATAAAAGGACAAGCTCGGCCCCCTTCTCTCCCTCCCTCTTGCCCTCTCTTTGCTCTACTTTCATGGGATGATGCAGCAAGAAGGCCCTTATCAGACGTTGCCCCTTGCTTTCCAGCCTCCAGAATGGTAAGCCAATACATTTCTGTTCATTATGAAATTATCTAATCTGGGGTATTGTGTTGTAGCAGCACAAAGTACATCAAGATACCTCTGAAGTCTTCAACTTCCCTCTACCTTCTAGTTTTCTCATGCACGTGCTTCCTCTAGGCATTTGGCATTTTCTCAGCCTTTATTCCTTTCCCTCTTTAGACCCCATGATTGAGCATTCTTTTCTTCTTAGCAACTCTGGACCTCTATCACTCTCCTTTAGTTCCACATTCAACTCCCCACACCCCACATTACTAGCAGAAGATTGTGTCTCTTACCCCACTGAGAAGATTATGCCTCTGGTATCATATTTCTCAACTTTCAGCAGCCTAACATTTATTGCCTCTTCTTTTCTCAGTCTCAGAGGATGTGTTTCCTTGATGCCACTTTCTTCTCCCACACCCACACTTATTCTCACAGTCATCACCTCCTTTTTCTTACATAAAACCTTCTCCCCCATGGCATAAAAATAGTAATTTTTCCCATCCTAAAAAAAAACTTTCAAAATACATAACTGCCTTTATGCCATGTTCATCTCTAACAAGGTAACATCCTATCCATATATTTCAGAAGAGTTGCCTACACTCACTGCCTCCACTTTTTCACCTCCCATACACTCCTCAATTGGCTGCAGTTTAGCTTCTTGTCCCAATCATTTCATTAAAACAGATATCACTAAAATCGATAACAGCTTCTGAAGTGCCAATTTCAATTAGTGTTTTTCAGTTTGTATCTTACTGAATCTCTTTGACATTGTTAATTTCTTTCCCTTCTTGAAACTCTGGATTTTCTTGGCACCTGGGACACTAATTCTTCTGATTCTCATAATATCTCACAATTCTATCTCTGGTCCTTTCCAGGCTTCTTTTCCTCTTACAGATTGGAAGTCTCCAAAGTTGCCAACAGTTTCATGTTCTCCTTAAGCGAGCTGTTCCACCTCCATGACTTCTATTAACACCGATAAGTCACTAACTTGAGAGAATCTCTCTTTCATCCACACCTCTTTCTAAGTTTTAGAATTGGGAGTTTTAGAGTTGGGTATTTGCCTTCTAAACCACTCTAGCTCACCCCTCAAACACAACATGGCCCCAGACTAACTAACTCATTCTCCTGAATTTGGTAATTTATTCTTGCCTAAGCACCAGGTTAAAACTTGGAGGATGCTTTATTCTCAACTTCTGTTTTTCCCTTGTCAGCCATATCATATCAACGGCCAGTCATTCCAAATTAAGTCAAGACTCATCTCTCCCTCTCCTGGATTGTTGTAATGACCTTCACACAAGTCTCCCTGCTTTCATTCCTGTTTACTTGCAGTCTATCCTTATAGGATAGTCAGTACAATCTAATAAAATATCAATCTAACCACGCCAAGCTCATTCTTAAAGGATTTAAATAATTGAGTGGTATCTATAGAAAAATGTCTAGACTCTTCACATATAAGGGCTTCTATGATCTAATATCTGTAGATGTCTTTGGCCTCATCTGTCAGTCCTCCCTCTCTTTCTGCTTTGGCAACAAGGAACTGCATGTAGTTCACATTACCCACCACCCCAACCAGACAGGACTGACTACAGATATTTGCTCATGTTCTTCCCCTGCCTGGAATTCATCACCATTTTTCTCTATCTTTTATGTGGCCCAATCGCAGTCATTCTTTAAGACTCAGTTTATAAGCCCTCCTCATGTTCCTTAGCTGATATTTGAGCCTTTCCTCAGAGCTTCCATAACATCCTGTATATTCCTCTGTCAAATTACTTTACACTGTCTTCTCTGTTTATCTTCCCACCACATTGTATGCTTCTTGATATCTCATTCAACTTTCTATTCCTCTTGCCCTTCCTAGTGCCAGATATCTAGAAGGTGCTTTGGACTTGGAATTATAGTAGAGTTCAAATCCTTTTCTTCCATGCATTGTTCTATGACATACATAAGTCACCTTACCTGTCTGAGCCATGCTTCCTTATCTATAATTAATCTTTTGTTTTTCAAGAAAAAATCTCAAGATCAAATGAGAAAACATATAAATATTCCTTATAAATTATGAAGTACTATGAAAATATTTTATTATATAGAATATGCAGAAAGATATAGATAAAAACATCTCTCATGAATCCTGTGCAAATTTTAACAAAACTTCTTATTTATTAAAAAATCTACATAAGCATTTTTATATCAGTGTGTGCTATAGTTTGGATGTTTGTGTCTCTCCAAAATTTATGTTCCTCTAATATAATACTATTACAAGATGGGGCCTTTTGGGAAGTGATGAAGTCATGAGGGTTCCACCTTCATGAATGAGATGAATGAGAGCTATCTAGTCTTTTGCTCTTCCACTCTTTCACCATGTGAGGACAACTAATTATTCAATGCAAAACACCAATAAACATCCACAAGCATTAAGAATATTCAGAATATTCAGTTCACAAAATGAACTGAATAAGACACCAGGGACCAGTCTCAGAGAGACAGAGATATGTGACCTTTCAGACAAATAACTGTTTTGAGGAAACTCAAAGAAATTTAAGATAACACAGAGAAATAATTTAAAATACTATCAGATAAATTTAACAAAGAGATTGAAATAAAGAGAATCTGGCAGAAATTCTGGAGTTGAAAAATGCAATTGATAAACTGAAGAATGCATCAGAGTTTCCTAATAGCAGAATTTATTCTGCAGAAGAAAGAATCAGTAAGCTTGAAGACAGGCTATTTGAAAACATACAGTGAGAGGACACAAAAGAAAAAGAATAAAAAAGAATGAAGCATGCTTACAAGATCTAGAATATAGTCTCAAAAGTCTTAAAATCTAAGAGTTGTTGACCTTAAAGAGAAGGCAGAGAGAG